TTCTGACTTTGTAAAACAAATAAAATGGAAATTACTCCAACTCTTTAATGTGTTTTTCTTTTTCTTTAAAATGTTTGCCTGTACATTCACATGCCTGATTGTCCTTTATCATGTATAATAACACAGTGAAAATTACTGTACTTTTACATGCCAAAACCAAAGCTTTTGTTAGTCTGTTTTCCTGGCTGTTACCTACTCCTTGTCTGGGCTGCATCTGGCACAGCATCACTGGCCAGTCAAGGGAGGTGATTGTCCCGCTCTACTCTGCACTAGTGTGGCCTCACCTCGAGTCCTGTGTACAGTTTTGGGTGCCACCTTGTAAGATATAAAGCTGTTGGAGAGTGTCCAAAGGAGGCAGTGAAAATGGTGAAGGGCCTTGAGGGGAAGCCATACAAGAACTTGGTCTGTTCAGCCTGGGGAAGAGAAGACTGTGGTCTTCCTTGTGGTCTTCAGCATCCTTGTAAGGGGAAGCAGAAGGGTAGGTACCAGTCTCTTTTCGCTGGTGACCAGTGACAGGACCCGAGGGAGTGGCCTGAAGCTGAGTCAGGGGAGGTTTAGGTTGGATATTAGGAACAAGGTTGTCACCAGAGGGTGGTTAGGCACTGGAACAGTCTTGCCATGGAAATCATCACGGCACCAAGCCTGCCAGAGTTCAAGAAAGTGTTTGGACAACACTCTCAAACACATGGTGTGATTTTTGGGGCTATCCTGTGCAGCGCCAGGAGCTGGACTTAAGATGATCCTTGTGGGTCCCTTCCAACTCGGGATATTCTATGATTTAACAGTGCTGGTATTTTAAAATCACTGGAACACAAAATAAATTTTGTTAGAACTGTTAATTAAGCTATTAATAAGAAATAATTATCTCCAAATAACAATTTGCTAACTATTGAAGGTGCTTGGAAAGGTATGTCAGGGAATAGTATGCTCATCCAACTGGCACAGATGGAGGGGTGTCCCCGTAAAGGGGGTTCTCGGAGCCTTTAGTCACCATGTATTGTTATGTTGAGCATGCTGCAGTTTGAATTCCTATTCTCGTGCTTCTGCTCAGGTCTTTTATTTTCTAAGCTGCAGCAGAGAATTGCTAACTTTAAGTAAAATTCAGGTAAAAACTTAACCTAAATTGCACTGACTTCGATTTTGAACGCCTGTTCACCTTAGTGATTGAGGTAGTGTGTACTTAATAGCTGCCTGTGTGCTTGGGAATATCCTTGGCACCTGACAGAAAACAGGAGGGCGTTTCTGTTGGTATCAGCCTCGTCCCCTTGCACCTCTGCTTCCAGGGTAGTTTTTGTCACCGGTGCAACGCAAGAGCCGGAGCAGGGTGGGAGGCGAGTTGGGTGCCTGCTCCTGCGGTCCCGGGGACAGGGAGCCTTTAACTCCAACTCTTCCCGTGCGTGTCGCGGGCGGAGGGCGGAGCACAGGGCTGGCAGCGGGGCTGGCCGGCCGCAGGTTCAGCCGGGCCTCTGGGGCCCTCCGACGGTGGAGCGGAGCGCTGGGCCGGGCCGGGCCGGGCCGGGCCGGGCTGAGGCAGCGCCAGGATGGCGGAGCGGCGGCTGCGGGCCCGAGTGCAGGGCGGCTGGGCCGGCGGCCCGGCGGGGCGGCCCGCAGGTAAGGAGCCCCGACAGCCGCCTCGCCAGCGCTGTGCGGCGCCCGGGGCGGGCCCGGCCCTGTGGGAAGCGCAGGGTCTGCCTTTCCCCTTCCCTACAGACGGCGGGGAGAACACTGCCGGCCTGGGCGCGGCAGCGAGCGCCGGGCCGCGAGCCCGGCCTCCGGATGCGCCGCTCTCAGGGGTGGCCCCGCTTCCCCCGCACCCCTCGGTAACTGAACTGCAGGTGTCCGAGCCCAGTTTTTGAGTAAAATTAATACGTGAGGCCCTTTTGGGTGCAGAACGCAGGGTACGGATGTGTTGCCAGTGTGCACACCGAGGCGAGCGTACTGTGCTCATCTCCCGGTGAGATGAATGAGGCGAACAGGACTTGGTAGAGCTGACTTGTGTGAGAATCAGTAGTCACTTTTGATTCGTAAAACACAGTATGTGCCTTCGTTTACCTTTTCACGGTGAAAATGTTGCAAGATAAAGAGCTACTTGAAAGGACTTGAGTTAACATCATAGTTGTTTTTAACAAACATTGAAACCAAAGCAAGCAGAGGCAGGAGACCACTTTGTATGTTCCCAGTCTTGTAAGAGGAACTGGTGTGTTTTTGTGAAAGTGCTTAAAACACTGTGTTCTGCTCACCTGATTCAATTTCCCATAAAGCTCCCATATCTTTGCAGACTGAGCATCCTAGGCAAGCTGATTTTTTTTTTTTTTTAAATAATGAAAAATTGTAGCCAGCTATTACAATTTGTGCATTTGGCCTGTAAGTTTTCTGTCACAGGTGCATTTTATTCTATCTATTCCTAAGGGGATTTAAAAAATAGAAATTTTCCCATCTTTTGAATTATATAGAATTAAGACTTTGTGTCAGGCCTCTTTTAAAGCCTGTTTGCATGTATAAAGAAAACACATGAAGTCATATGCCCGAGTTCCTCTTCCATAATTCCTAATTTTAAAACCCTGTTTTAATAAAAGTGTTTTTCTCTTTTTTTCTTTAAAAAAAAAAAAAAA